TGAGCCGAACATATCTTAATGACAAGCTAATAGCGGCGCTATCTGAACTATAAAAAAAAAAAAAAAAAACGTAGTTTTTTTTGTAGTTTATTGCACATTTTTGCAATTTATGTAGTTACTATGGATTTAATGCATACATATTATTAAAATTTGGGCTATAATGGTTGTATTGATGTATAGCAACTTGAAATGCTGCCAAAAATGGCTCCACAGCATGTAAAAATATAAAGTAAGCTCTGGCGGACTTGGTTCTATGGTAGGTCTTAAAGGGTTAAATAATTACATTGTAAATTTCATTCACAGTGATCACATATTTGCACAAATATTAGTATATACACCATCTTCTGTCTTCTATAGGATTTTTTTTTAAATCAGCTCTCTGTTCTGATTGGCTGACTGTAATCAGCACATTGGCAGTTTTTGCCAGCGTTACTGCAATCTGCCACAGCTCAAAAATAGTATGAATTCACGCTCCACAGAATATGGTTTTATTCCTTTAACCATGTAGGCACATTTCTATACACCCTCGCTGGCTTTTAAACAACAATATACAAACTACTTCTTTTCTATTAATTGGCACCATTTCACATTTGTTTGCTTACTCCCACCAGCTGGCTGGCACCGACTGAGGCACCGTTAACGTTTAAGCAGCTTTAGTCACTAAATGAGTTTTCACGCATATGCAGCAGCCCTGAAGTTTTCCAGATATCACCCAGAGGTGTACATAAGAATGCAAATGTTTGAATCAGTCAGACTGGACACTAAACACACTTTTAACCCTGCCAGCTTCTGATTGCAGAGTGTGTGTAACGGAGCCTAATAGTGCAGGCAACTATCCAAAAACTTCACAGTGAATCAGTGAGATTCATGTGTTGTACATCCTCGATGCCCCACTGAAGAACCACTGTAATCCAAATGCTCAATTTCCATTCATGAGATTGTGTCTGAGAATAATCTCTTGACACTATCCGGAATTCATGTGGAAAAACTGCCTTTGTTGAAAACATCTATAATTCGGAATAAGCAAGCTTTAATTTCTGTTGAAAATGTACCAACACTAATACTGCTTTACTGTATGTAAAATCAGAGCACCAAGTGGAACCACGTAGCCCCCAAGCTTTAGAAGGGGATGAATGTCAATTGGCAAAGTTGACAGAATAGCTGCCACAATGAGGTGATAAAGTTTCTTCAGTTTAGGTTTGAACTATAACTTTGCATTTTCAGGGGCTTCCACTGCATCTGTGTCATGTCAACATTTTCAGTGCCAGAACTGAAAGTGCACTCAAATCAACAACAACATAAAGGGTAAATTTTTACTATGATGAATTTCCTGCTTCTGCAAATGCTTTTAAATGGATTTCCAGCATCTCATTTTTATGTGGCGTCCACACTTTACATTTACTGACTGGAAAAAAAAGAAAATAAGTCCTCTATGTAGACATTTCAACAAAGTATGAAATTCAAAGATTTTTAACCCATATAAAATGGGTAAGGGCATTCATCACTGAACATGAGCTGCAAATACGGCTGTGCAATATGACAAAATATATCGGATGACAAAATTAAAACATCTATCATTTGTTTCGTAGTGTCGCAAAATACACCGTTTACTGCAATATTTTTTCATCATTTGGATGGTCACCACGTGGAACCAAGGTTTGGTTATGAAAACTCTGACACGGACCAGAAAACTGTGCTATGCAAACTATGCCGCAAACCGGTCCCCACCTCAGACGCAAACACGACAAACCTGTTCTACCACATACACAACAATCACGTGAAATAGTATGTACAGAGTTTATGGATGAGAAGCAAAAAAGAGTCATCAGGTGCTCAAAATAAACCTTTCACTCAAACGTTAGAACAAGCTTTTCCCTCCAGCACGCCGTGTAATAAGCACTCTCAAAGAAAATGGCAGCCATTACAACTTATATCTAAAATATAAGAAAAAAAATCAACTCCAGGTACACAACACCCAGCTGAAAACACTTCACACAAGTCTAGTTGCCCGGGATTGATATACATCTCGTTATCGAGATGAGACATGTCTTATATCGGGATAAGAGATTATAGTCATATCGCGCAGCCATAGTTGCAAATCTATTGTGTAAAAAAAGAAAAATCGTGCCACACAAATGTCCTCTGATGTGTTCACAACCTCAAACAAACAAACAACACTCATGGGAATAAACATAGTATAGGGGCCATCGATCTAAATGTAAATCAGGTTGTATGCCATAAGTCTGGTTTACATTTAGATAAGTGGATTTTAATTTCCTTTAGAGAAAAATCCTCATTTTCACACAAATGAATCGATATGCAGTATGACTGCATGCTAGATCAATAAGACTAAAGCTAGAGCCATAAATCAGCTAGGAAGATATACTGGCAGGATTTAGTTTAGGAATGATAGTATTGCTGTGTACAACGGAGAATATACAACAGGGTGCAAAGTATACAAGAGAGTTACCTTCACTTTCAGAGGAATAACCACAAGTGACCAGTAATAACAGAGTTTCAAATAGCTATCTACTCCTCCTCCAACAATTACAAAAAAAAAACGTACAAATCAATATGAATTTTTATTAATTTCTGAAGACAGTAGGTCTCACTTCCCTTAATATTCATTCTTAATGGAAGTGCCATCAGCTCCTATTATTTGTGCCAGGATTCACTTTAAACTGCTTGCAAAGTCGTAGTCCCTGCTAACAAGTGACAACTGGTAGTACGAATTCAGTGTCAAACACACATGAGCTAAAACATTATGACATCTCACAGGTGAAGAGAATAATTCTGATTATTTCAACACAATAGCGCATGTCAAGGTCTGTGACATGCTAGGCATTAAGTGATCAATTAATCCAGTAGGCCTTGAGGGGTACAACCAGTGACAACTGAGAAGAACCTCCCGGCAGTAGTTCAAGGAGGGATAAATAACCTACACAGTCTGAACCGCTGCAGCTCTCTCTGTTATACTTAAAAACAATGTCCTGCTGTCTCATTGCCAAATGCCAAATGATGATTTCCAAGATCTTACACTTAGTGTACGCCTAGGTAGCTCAAACTGCTTTGGCAACACAGGACTGACCATGATCATATTCGGAGTGTTGGTTCATAATTCTACACAGTGACCCGGGAGCAGAGAACGGTACGGCATGAACAAAACACACATGACAACTGCTGTTTCACTTACGATTTTCTCAGAAACATCCTTTTTTGAACTTACATATTATATAAGTCTACTAAACATCAGTCCCTATTCTAACACTTAGAGTGCAGAAAACTCTTCAAAAATGGAGTAGACTGGTATTGGCTGGCTCTTTCTCGGCATCATATCAAACAGAAAGGAAGAGACACACCCAAAGTGGGCAGAGATTTTTAGTAGGAGATCCTGAATACTGGCACACACTTGCATAAACACATGCAGTACACCATGTAGGCAGAGTCTGCACACCATTTAAAGAGGCAGCTGGTGCATATGCCAGATTCCATGCTCAGTTCAACAGGCATATGTGCCTTTCTTGACCATATCATGCAAACACAACAGACTAAGTCTTAATGCTAAGCAACAATGCAACCACCATTTAACAAATAAATGCATCTTAAAATTTACTTATTTAAAAATTTCCCTGAACAACCAGACATTTATTACAGGAATAACTGTTCCTCTGGGCAATCACAAAAAATATTAAAATACAAAAACAAAATATAAGAGATTCTCCTTCCATCCTCTTCATCATTCTGGGATACATGACTAGCACGTTAAGGAGAAAAACAGGCACACCCAGGGTCTTACATATAACACGGTCACTGCTATATTATAGCTTATTTTATGTTAGTGTGTTTGGTTTTACAATGAATGTGTACTTTGTAGAGCCTGGCCAAACCTATAAATTTGGTGACAATGATCTCAAAATCAGCACAGATGAAAATAATGCCCATATAGAAATGTTTTAAGTGTTCAATTTTAAAACTGTGGCCAAATAATCTGCAGACCTTTTTCCTTTCCTCCGACAGCTTTGTCTGGCTCATAATTTTTCTTGCCTGGAGTAAACACATTTGTAAGAGTATGTAGAAAAACCAACAACATGAACATATCATTTCCCTAAAAACACCCCATGCCATTTAAAGAAGATCCATAACAAAGGCACACAGTTAACAGCTGTGTAGTTACCACAGCAGAGAGCTCAGGCTGTTTAAATTAAATCTCTGATTATTCTCTACTCCTCAAAAGGCTTTTTACACATAGCTGGTTTTTTATCTTTATTGTACAATAAACTCACAGCTAGAGGTATGTGTGGAGTAAAATCCTCTCTGTAGATAAGTTTGTGCACAAAAAGATGCCTTCCTTTGAACCTTAAGAGGTACTAGCATTAAAAGTCGCTATTCTGTTGCAAAGACTTTTGGGTTTAAAATTATTCAAGGTACTATAAACCAAGAGCAGAACTGTCGCTTTAAGTATCAATGCATGCAGGTTAGCTAACCGGTGAACAAGTTAAGTTTGTCAGTTTCATTCACAAAAAGCTTGCCATGGCTCCCTCGCCTCGCCACCTCACCACCGCCTCATCGACAGGACAGTAACCCAGAACTATTATCACTGTGTCGAGTTGGCAAGCGAATTAGCCAGCTAGCTAGTGAGCAAGCCAAGCCACTTTATACTAAGCAGATGTATCGTTAGCATACAAGCTAACAGGGATATCCATTCCAGAGACAGAGTCGACAGTGAGCTTTGAAGTTGCTGCTTGCTCCCCCCCCCCTCCACTCTGGTTCCGTTAACACACGCCGACCAGCTGGAGGCTTTCTTCATGACTTATCGACAAAGTGCTTTACGAGGATCTTTACGAGAACTTAAAATGTGACAGAAGAGGACGCGAAGATTGGTGGGGGGGGTTAAATGTTGCTTTGCTGGTGTAAAACTCAACTGTGAAAATATCAGCTAGCCCTGCATATGAGTGTCTGGACAGCGGGAGCCAACAGGACGATAAAGGTAGCAACCTTACCTGGAGGATGAAAGGTGTCGTGCAAAGTCGGAGTTTGGCCAGACACGTCAGTAGCTTCTTTTCTCTTTGTCGGTCAGTTTAAAAGACTCCTGCTTTACCTTTGGCTGGATCACGGTCAACCAAAGATACTGCCTGACTCTGCTGCCTCCCAGCCACAACAGCGACTGAATACAGTTCAGCGTCTGCTTCTCACTGGGAAGAATCCTTGGCATCGCGAGATAGGGCGAGAACTCGGGGGTGTCTACGGACCAATCACAGTAGCCGGCTGGAGCGAAGCGTTTGTTTTTGTTAGGGTTTGTGTGAAAGTCTGAGAGACAGTCTGCTTCTCTATGAAATAAAATAAAATAAAATAAAATAAAATAAAATAAAATAAAATAAAATAAAATAAAATAAAATAAAATAAAATTAGTATTTTTATTTTTCTAAAGTTAATATACCTTTTAACTAACTTGAAACCCATTTTACATATTATTATTATTATTATTATTATTAATGCAACTAACATTAGGCAAATCATTTTTTAAAAACTACCTGAAATAAAATACTAAAACATGAACATAAGTGACCAAGTGATTATTATTATTAAGGCAACACTGCATTAATCAAAAGCCTAACTGCTACAATCTGCACATACCTCTGCCTTAAGAAAAATGTGGAGAACTGCATCAGTTGATAGCTAAAACAGCCTCAGGTTGCCTATAAGGTGTGTGCAATGCAGAGAAAGGACAATTATATATACAATTATAAAGCAACTGTTCTACATAATGTAAATGACAGAGGCAGAATGCACTGCAGTATTTTTGACTAGAATGAGGAAACACTGATGAAATTCTCAGATGTGTTACATTAGATGAGATTATTTAAGTTTTCTTAGACCTCTAATATCTTTTACAAGAGACTGCATGAGGGTATTTCAGTAAAGCATTAAATAAATGAGAAATCCAGTCATCTTCACTATATCCCATGTCTTATGAAGTACAAGGTGAGAAAGAATAAAAGAAGATGATATCATCATAGGCAAAAGGAACCCAGAGCGCAGCACATGCATGATGCAAGACTGCACCACTCTCTGATGGGGGGGGGGAAACAACATCTGAGCATTCTCACATTTTCTCTGTGAGTGTCGCATATCCTCGCAGTTAACTTAACGGGCACTAATGCAGTCTCAGTAGCTTTAGCTGTCCTAGTTGTGGATGCTCATTAAAATCAGGTATAGATTCTCCAGTCCACTGGTGCTTAATAGTTTAGTGGACTCAAAGGAATCCAGATTTCTTTTATTTTAAATTCTTCCTATTTTTTTAACTTTACTTTTAAGATTAGCAAGCCAGCATCTTCAGCCCTTCTTTCATCTAAAAATATGTTTAAAATTCAGTCAGCTCCGTTTTTTTTAACATGTAGAAAGATCCTGTATGTTTTTCTTTCATTATGGTTTGAATACTGAAATGATTTTGTTTTGGTGAATTAGAAGTCAATGAACAGGATCATCTAAAGTAAGCAAACCACAACCAGCACATCACATTGCATTACAACACTTTAAGCTGCACAATTAATTAATGGCATTTGCCTTTGTTGATGAGGTGTTCTTTTTTCACAAAGGCAAAGTTGCTGTGTCCCCTACGTTGGTCTATAGTGCAGAATTCTCTTGGCTGATGACTTTCTTTGTGCTGATATTCATGTTCCCAGAAGATGAATATCATCCTTGCCAAACCAACAATCTGGTGCATTCATAAAAAAGAAGCAATCCACCAGTTAGCTCACAAACAGCAAAATTCCTGGGAGCCCACAGAAGACAACTGCAGTGGATGACTGCAGAGTTATTTCACTGGTTTACAAAGTGTTCATACTTTCTAGTCAATAAGTCAAGTGTAGTCAAGAACACTCTCAAGGAGATATTGTGAAACTACAATCAAGAGAGACCTTTAAGAATGGAAAAGATTAAGTGTTTACACCAACATGCAAACCACTGACTACACTGAGGATCAAGAAGGCCCGGTTGTTTTTCCACAATTCTGAAAAAATAGAATAGTTGAGATTAATCTATACCATAATGATGGGAAGAGAAAGGAAGAGAACCTCTCGTGATCAAATCCATACCACATCATCTGTCAAACAGGGTGCAGGCAGTGTTATGGCATAGGCATTTAACTAGATCACTAGCACTGATGATGTGACTGCAGAGTGTACAGAGAGGAACAGCAGAATGTATTCTGAAGTTTACAGGGCTATACTTTCTGCTGAGATTCAGATAAATACTGCTTCACAGTGCAAATGGATAATGATCCAAAACAAACTGCAAAATCAACCCAGCAGTTTCTCTGGGCAAAGAAATGGGAAATTCTTCAATGGCCAAGTCAGTCATCTGATCTCAACCCAGCAGAGCATGAGTTTCAGTAACTGAAGACAAAACTGGAGGGACCCACAAATAAAGGTGTCTACAGTAAAATCCTAGCAGAGCATCTCAAAAGAGGAAAGACAGCATTTGGTGGTGTCTGGTTCTAGACATCAGGCAGTCATTGACTGCAAAGCATATTGTCACAAAGCAGCCCAAAGGTCAGACAAAGGGAGGGAGATCACACATATAAATTTGTCTTAGAGGAATAAAAATGTAAATTAAAAGAAATAAAAATGTAGTGGCCAGATCAGTCACGTGAAGAGTGTGAATTCACGTATGTTGCAAAGGTCTCTAAAAGAAAAGTGAAGTTAATCCAAAGCCAAACCCAAACCAGCTGTTCTCCTGCCTGCTGGAAAGAAGTGAAAACATTAGCGTCAAGCCGTTTTAAACCATTAGCCAAGTGCCAACAGATGTGCCGTCTCTCAGTATCTGCCTTTCACAACCTGCTGCCTTCAACACAAGACCAGAAAGAGGCAGAACAGAGAAGGCTGAGTGGGTAGGGTCATCATAGTATTCATCACATTATTATAAACAATGATATTTGAAATTATTTTAGGTTGCTCGTTTTATTTTGATCCTCTGAAAACTTTGGACCATGTTGAAAAATGGCTGTAACTGCTAAACAGATGATACAACATTTTTGTTGAATCCCTTTAATCAAAGCTGAAAATCTGCACTTCAATCACATATTGACCGCTTGATTTAAATTCCACTGTGGTGGTGTGTAAAGGCAAAGCTACCATTGTCTAAAAACAAATGGACCAAATTATACATGGTAACACCAACATATTTTTTTTCCTTCTTTTAAAATTTTTATCTAGGACTGCCATTACTTAAAAAATGTATCTAATCTAATCTAATAAAAATTCTATTGACTTTTATATAGTTTTAGCTATATGATCGTTTTAGTGCTACTTGGAGAATGTTAGCAAAGATAGACCGTTAAACCAAGATAAAATAGCACGGTTGTATTTAGCTACAAGGAAAGGAAATGATAGGTTTTCTCTGAGTGAATGTCACATGTCATGATTCCTATTATTTGTTCGAGCTAGTTGCTTTACCCTTGCTAAACTGCTTAAATATAATATCCATTTGCTTTTAACGTCTAACATTGTGGACAAAGGTAAAGCTTTTTTTATGTTACATCTCTCAAATAGTTTTAATGGGTTGTTCCAGCCCTTGAATTGAACACATCCTTGGGGGCTATTTGCTGGTCACTAACGTTTAACCTAGCAATTTTTCCAAGTGCAAGGATCAATGAGGAGAGCTACTGTTAGCGGGTGTGGCAGCTGATTGCACTCAAGGTTTGCTAGTAAGTTGCATCATTAGAGTTTTAGTGGGATTGGCATTTGGATATAGGCGTTAGAGCTAGGCCAGTCTCTTCAACACCGATCTCTATCAGCTTCTATTAACCTATTAGGGAAAAGGACCAGACTCTGACCTTCAGATGGAAAGCCGGTCCAGACTTCCTTTCCTTTCTTCACTTGCTTTCACTTTACTTTCCTTGTAACTGGGATCTAATGATAAATAATAATGATAACAGCAATGATAAACCACCAAACTAAGATATGATAGCTTGGTTGCATTTATTGCTCCAAAGGGCATACTACAGCAACACAGAGCTAGAAGCAAAAATGTAACTATCATCAAAATCAGTCCGGAAGCTGGAGATAATTCTATACTCACAGAGGTATTTATGTGTTTCTTTGAGCACCAATTTTAAGTCCAGAGTTTGATTATTTTCCATTCCTTTTAAAATGTTGTTTTTCTATAAGTTTTCTAATATTCCTTTATTACAAAACCAAAGGAAAAATGCACACACTCACACACAAATCATTGTGATGTTTCTCCTAAAACGTTATACAAAGCTGCGGGGGAGGGGGCGTTATTGTCATTATGAACAACTTGGCAATAGAAACTTCATATTACATCTTCTTTTATAGTTAATGTAATTACCTCTCAGAGAGGTTTTATGAGAGACAATATTGCCAAATAAATGAAGAAAGAGGATATTTGAGTGTGTCGTACAAAAAAGCTATTTGATTTTGTGCTGTGTATTTGTGTCCCTGTACTGTGATGAGTACTCTGATAAACTTTATTGATTCAAATCAGAAAACAAATTTGGATCAAAAGGGACATTATTAACTGTCAAAACTCAAAAAGACAATAATGGGACTGGTAACGGACTGAAATGTAAAGGAAACATGTGGTTTTATAGCCCATTTGTCAGCATGCACAGATGATATTCAGTCATTCATTCTGTGCAGAGCAATATTGTGCACGTTCACTGCTGAAAAGAAGAGAAACACACGCACACACACACACACACACACACACATACCCAAGAATTTGAATGTGGTAGTAAATATAGGCAATTCAAAAGAGATCGTTTTCTCCTTTCATTTCTTCAACTGTTGAACCCAAGGAGCAAGGCTGAAATGTGAGTTGCTTTTGGTGAACACTCAACAAGGGTCGTTCAGTCAGCAGAGACTATTTCAGAGCTTAATCATATTTCTGACAAGCAGCAGCAACCTTCTCGATCAAACCCCACTTGGTGAGAACCATTGCCCCATCCCATGACTAAATTCTATGGAAATTAAAAGCTTTTTTTTGTTCTTTGTTTTTTTTAAAAAAAAAATTTAATTCAAAGGCTGATTAAACACATCGCAGCTGAGGAGATTTCTGAGTGTGTTTTTGTGGCTCAAACACTCAAAGTCTAAACTAACCTCACCACTGAAATGTGGACTCACTGAAGCTGCTGAAAAGAACTTCAAA